AATGGAAGAATACCATGCAAGAAGAGTTTGATGCATTGCTGGTTCAAGGAACTTGGAGATTAGTTCCTCTTCTAGATAACAGAATTGTTATTGGCAGTAAATGGGTATATAAGGTCAAAAGAAGTCTGGATGGGACAGTTGCAAGGTATAAGGCGAGGTTGGTAGCCCAAGGTTATAGTCAAGAACAGGGTTTAGACTACTTTGAGACCTTTAGTCCAATAGTTCGACACACTATAGTGAGACTGATTCTTGCATTGTTAGTTCAAAACAATCGGAGTTTACGACAGTTAGAATTGAAAAAATGCTTTTTTTACATGGAGAATTGGAGGATGAGGTCTATATGAAACAACCACAAGGTTTTGTGGATCCTAAGCACCCAACACATGTTTGTAGGCTTGTCAAATCTCTTTATGGTCTCAAACAAGCTCCACGAGTCTGGAATTCAAAGTTCACTAGCTTCCTACCTTATCTGGGGTTTAAAACCTCAATGGCTGACACAAGTCTATTTGTGAAAGAAGATGATGGTGATGTGGTTATCATGTTATTATATGTGGATGACATAATATTGACAGGCTGAAGTCTAGCAAAGATCCAATATGTTATCTCTCACCTTGCAGAAGTTTTTGACTTAAAAGATATAGGGCAATTGACATATTTTTTAGGCCTTCAAATTCAATATCAAGCAGATGGGTCTATATTTGTTAATCAATTGAAGTATACCACAGAGTTATTGAAGAAAACAAGTATGGAGTCCTGCAAATTTACTTCACCCCATTCGAAGCCTCATTCTCAAGTTCTTTTGTCTGAAGGAAGTCCTGTGGATGATCCAACACAATACAGAAGCCTCGTAGGGCCCTCTAGTATCTGACCTTCACACGACTTGATATAGCTCATGCTGTTGATGTTGTTTGTCAATATATGATACAAGCATCTGAGCTCCATATGCATTTAGTCAAAAGGATTATGTTATACTTGAAGGGCACAATCCATTGTGGTTTAAGGTATACGAATCACTTGACTTTACAATTTCAGTCTATTCTGACTCTGATTGGGTTGCAGACATAAATACATGGAGATCTATAACGGGTTATGTGGTTTATATTGTTACTAATCCATTTTCGTGGCAATCTAAACGACAATCCACAATATCTCGTAGCTCTACAGAGGCAGAATATAAGGCGTTGGCTCATGATGCAACTAATGTTTTTTGGATTCGTTCTTTATTAAAAGATCTTTATCAATTTCTTCCAGTACCACCACATTTACATTGTGATAATCTGTCAACATTAGCCTTGTGTTCGAATCCGGTGTTTCACTCCAAAATTAAACATCTTAAAACAAATTATCATTTTGTGTAAGAACGAGTACAGAAAAGAGATATCACAGTATAATACATTCCTACTGAAGAACATGTAGCTGATGTCTTCATCAAAGGACTTCACAATCCAATTTTCAGTAAACACTGCCATAATCTCAATGTTGGTACAAATACATCAGAGACTTAGTGGTGTTAACGGTGTCTGGAAAACAATCTAAGCTCTGATCGCTTAGCTTGAGGGGGAAGTATTAACCATAGTCATTAGTGATGACATAGTTACTTAGTAATGAAGAATATAGTTAGTGGAAATGTGTTGGTAGGTAGTCATAAGGTTGAGATTGGATAGAATTGTTAGAGGGTATTATTGTAATTGAGCTCATCAATTTAGCTTTAAAAAACCAAATGTAAACAACCATTTATAGCTATCCAGGAATATATGTAAAACTTCATACTCTCTTATATTCTCTTCGAAAGCTTCTTCTTTGTTATGTATTCAGAGATTGTTTAGAATAGTTAACAAAACTGAGCTGAGGGAACCGAAGGGATAGTTTGTGTCTGAGAAATAGAAATTTGGGCTTTGGCAAGGACTTAGTACATATGTCTGCAATTTGATCTTGAGAACAGATGAAATGAACTGAAATAGCATTGGAAATCACTTTCTACCTGATATAGTGATAGTCAATTTCAACATGCTTTGTTCTAGCATGGAAAATGAGATTTTTTTTGCCAAAGATAAAGTTGAAATATTATCACACCACAGTTTGGGAGGACAAGGAAGAACCAGATAAACATCAACCAATAGTTTGCACAACCAAGTATTTTCAGCTGCAATATTGGCTAAAGACCTATATGTAGCTTCAGTAGAGAACCTAGCCACTGTTAGCTGTTTCTTTGCACTCTAGCTAATAAGAGAATTGCCCAGAAAAATGGAATATCCACCTGTTGATTTTCTGTCTAAAACACAACTAGCCCAATCAGCATCAGAGAATGCATTATTACTGAGAGAAGTATAGCATGTTGGGAACACGTATAATTAGTTCTAAGGCGTTATGGTTCGATTATAATTTGGGATTAAAAGAAATGGAAGTGACGCACGATTATACTTGAAACGCAACCACCTGAACCAAGTCCATCCCTTATGCAATATCTTCGCTTGCAATAACTGCAAGATCAATACGTTTACTTTGATTCTGACAAAAAAAAAAACGTTTACTTTGATGAAACAATTATCGAAAATGATCACTTCTTGATGTTAATTTAATGTGTGTTATTGTTGGATGATTGTTGTATTATCATTGTCTCGTCATTTATATCATATAATATAAATCTTATTATAAAAAATTAATTGTGTAACTAAAAGTGTTGTACGTCTACTGGTATAAAGAAAGTGCGAAGAGAATTGTTGGTGAATACACGCTTCTTGATGTTAATTTAAGGTGTGTTATTATTGGGTAATTTGTTGTGTTATTGTTGTCTCGTCATTTATATTATATAATATAAATCTTATTATAAAAATTATTTGTGTAACCAGAAGTGTTGTACGTCTACTGGTATAAAGAACGTGTGAAGAGAATACTCGATGAGGAAAATGACGATGATGACGTGGGAGACGGATTTGCATGCAGGAGTGACGTGTCTGAAGACCAGAGGAAGTGCAGAAAATGTTAGGAGCAGTAAGCATGTGGTGGCCAACTAACGCCTTGGAACTCGAAAAAACAGTCGCAGCAGCAATTTCTGTCTTCTGATACGATGCCCTATCTCTCTGCAAAAACAACATATAATCAATATTTTATATAAATTATTAGGTGACTTTTTTCCCTTTGCTTGTTCTTCACTTTCAGTCTGGACAACTCTTGGAATATTTGATCAGCATTTTTGTTGCTGTAAGCAACGCATGGAGGGGAGCTGTTCCAATCCGAGCCACAACCTCTATCTCTCAACGCGATTTCTTATATTAATTTCAAAATTTTATCTTTTCCTTGTTGCAAGACAAATATGTACGAACAAAACAGGTAATCCATCATCAATAAGATCTCACAGCAGCCATTGCGAACGTAGTTTAGTTTATCTAGTAAACAAACAGTTTATCCAAAACAAAAAGAAAATTTACGTACAAAGAGACTAGAGTTGAGTTATTCACACTGTATTTTATTGGTAAAAAAAAAAAAAAAGGAAAGACACTGAACTTTGTTTCTGAATTTTTGAACCAATTCAACACGATGCATTCAACACACCCAGGCCACGTACACTGAAACATGATCTAAAGGGCATCGATCCAAACAGATGAAATAAGCATTTTCTATAAGGTGTAGTCATTGTTTATAAAGATGTAGGAATCATTTCTCAAAAATAAAATATGAAGTATAGAGGCACTTAAAAACCTTTTGCTTGTTACAGAATAATGGGAGAGAATGGGACTTATATACCCTTTTACAATCATGCTTAACTCCTAAGCTATGCTTAACTAACAAACACATGCTAATATAATTCTGACGTGGCATCTAAAAATATGCTAAATAATGAGCCATTAGCCTTTTGTAATATTAGAAAGGGAAATGATGTTCTCGCATCTATTTTAGCCTCTCACGTATTCTTCTTTGTTTTATACTATTAGGTTGAATAAATAAAATAAAAACAACCATCAGAATTAAACAAATATGTGTAAAAAGCTAAAAATGATGAGTGTTTATCATTTCTATGTTAGAAACCATCAACCCCCATTTGAACACACAGAAAAAGACATCAACTACGATCAGTTTTTCTCCTCCTGCATGGATTATATGCGCATGAACTGACGCGATGAAATCTTGGCTTTCCACTTTCGGCTGTTTCAATCTTTGTTGCAGCTTTTTTTCCCAAACCACATCACAGCCACTCATTTTAATTTACAAGAGTGGAAGGCTGAAATTTTATCGCATCAGCTCATGCGCAGGAGAGAAAAACTGCAACTCCCATACTCTTAGAACTGTGAAAAAGTTCAAATATGGGCTTTATTGCTAAAAAGAGCTCTAGTGAGCTGAGTTCTCATAAGATAACTCATGCAAGGACAGGGCATTGGGCCTTGACTAATCTAGAAGGATTGGAACGCAGAATTCGAATCAAACAAAAGCCCAAATAGGTTAAAGCTCACTCAATTCTAATTGTACGCTTGAAAAAGGTTATAACACTGCCACTCCATCTGAGATAACAGATTGTGTTTGCTGCTTCTCATCCAACTTTGAATCGCATTTTTTTAATTAGAGTAGTTTAAAATATCTTAACATGTTACATCTTTTAGCCTTTCGGTCTTTGCAAAAGCACCTTGCCTGCCGAATTATTTAGGTACCAATTTGACGAAAGAAGAAAACACAAAGATTACGGTCTATTTGATAACTATTTATTTATTTTTATTTATTTTTGTGTTAGTGGTATAGGGGAAATAAATAGAGTAAAAAAGGGGATGAAGAAGAGAGAATGAAGGATGTAGAGAGATGTATTACAAGACACAAAAAATAAAAACTAAAAACTAAAATCTATGTTCAATTCTTTTCACTTTCAAGATTTTGTTTTCATTCCTTCATCTTTATTTTAAGTTGTTTTCCTTATATACATCCCACATGATCTCAAACACTAAAATAAAATGCAAATTATTATCAAACAGATCCTCCTCTATGTAGTACAAATTCATACAACCATCTAAGTGAGCAATCTTCTATTAAATATGTTGTTCAACGTGTTCGTTAATACCTTTAGCATCAACATAAATTGGATCCAACGGTTCTCATCGCACATTACAATTTACCACTTTGATTGCATGCATTTCGGATGAAAACATTAGAACAGTAAACCCTAAACCATCGCTCTCTCGCTCTCTCCAATTATACAAGTAAAAAAAAAAAAAAAACTATACAAGTCAACGGCAGTGAGGTGAGCAAAAGAAAGAGAGGCAATCGAGTTCTACAGGTCCTCATGAGTAAGGACTCTTGACCAACATTTCGTACTTTTCAACTGCACTTGTGGGGACCGCCACCATGACCTTCACAGATTCCCCCCGATCATCATCACCATCGTTAGAATGTCCAGCTGGCAGAAACAGGCAGTACCTATCGCTGCATATGGAACCAACGTGCACCGGCTTCCCCATCCCAAAGTCAACCCTCTCCAGCCCCAGCCTCGACCACTGCGACACGATCAGCACCCCCACCGAGTCCGGACAAGCCCTTCCCCCCTCCCCGCTCACCGACTCCACCACCCTCCGCACGTGCTCCTCCCCCACCCTCTCCTTTGCGCGCTTCACCAGCTCCGCCGCGTGCCACAGACCATTCTCCGCCAGTTCCCTCGCGCTGCATTGCGCGCACCCCAGCACGAACGCGTTCCCGTAGTATCCGTCGGGTAGACTCGGCCTGACTCGGTCACGTACGTTCACGCTGAATAAAATCTTTAGGGTTTGGTTTGGTGGGAGATTCAATGCTCGAGCCCAACTCCGCCACACGTGACCGGATAGGACCTCAAAGGATGTGTACGACGATGATGACTCGGTACTGAGTCGACTCGTTGACGCAGCGAGTTTCTTCAGCTCAATTAAATATTTTTTATGGAATGTGATCGAGGTGGGGGTGAGTCGTTCGTTGGCGAACCGAGTCACGAAGTTGGAAACGTCCGGGACCTTGCTGTACTCGGGATGACTCGCCGCGTTGGTTATTCGATGATGACGTGGATTTAATGCATGATGTACTGGTTGTGGGTCCAGAAGGTGGCGATCCCAAACGGGCTTGGGTTTGAACTCGCTAGTGAACCCGCGCTTCCCGGTTGCCAGCTCGGCAAACGAGTTGAGAAATTCCGCGCTTCCGATCCCGTCGCAGACGCAGTGGTTGAATCCAACGCCAAGTGCCGCCGCTCCATCTTTAAGCCACGTCAGTTGGACAACGAGCGGCGGGGCCCCTTTAAGTACGTCAGCGACTTGGAGCGACAATAGCTTCCTCCACTCGGCGACGTAGCGCGGAGCACGCTCAAAGTCAGAGACTGCGACATTGTAGGAGACAGCTTCTATGAAGACTGCGCCCTGAGCCCGACAGACCACTTCAAGACTGGAGCCATCGGGCTTGGGGTGCACTCTGCCTGCTAGAGGGTAGTAAGGCACCAAAGCGTGAGCCAGTGCAGCCTTGACGCGCGACGCGGTCGAGGTCTGATTCAGTCCCGGGCAAGGAGTGTAGACCAAGAGGTACTCGATGGTGAAGCGGAGGAAGAGCTGCGAGTCGACGGCGGAGAGGTTGAGAACGCAAGTCGGGGTGGGATCGGAGGGGGTGACGACCACGGCGTCCTTTACACGGAGAGAGCTTCCCATATCCTCAAGTATAACGATCAAATAATTGAAGAATTTAATTAAACCGTGAGTTTTGCGTTTTTTTGGTAATGTGAGGGGTAGAGGATTTAGGGTTTGTGGGTTTGCTTTTTCCAGATGAGCAATGTATGAATATATAAGAGACAGAAAGGAATTTGGTGAATGTTTAAGCAACCCAGGGCCATGTGTATGTTTGCTGTTTCGTTACTGTGAAAGATTTGCGCAAGATTCTCTGGGTATACTTTACGAGAAAAAATGAATATAAAAACAAAAAACTATTGTTCCCTCAGACTGATAGCTCTCTCTCCTACTGAGAGACTGATAAAGATGACTTTTTCCAACTAATCACTTAATCAAATACTTAACAAGTGTAGTCAATGATAGAGAGACTAAGTTTAGTGATGATTAAATCATAGAAGTTTTAACGAAAAACTCACAGTACTGTTCATTTTAACGAAAAATTATATTTTTACATAAAAAAGTCAAACCTGATACTATTCATTTTACCATTTATTTTATCTTTATCGTTAAAACTCAAAGTTTTCAAGCCATTTTCATTAGTTTTCCTTTAAATTATTACTTAAATGTTGATTAATATGTTTATTTTCTATTGGTAACATATCATTTAGTTTACAAATTTGATTTATTTAGCATTATCCCAATTTGTGTGATAATATTATGAGAAATACTAGGAATACTCTCTAAAAAATGGAACTCTTCGTAGACTTCTATGTCACCTCATGCATTTGCATGAAAATTAACGTTAAATATGATGTGATAGAGAAATTATAAAAAATCTCACTTTGAAAAAGTTTATTTAACCTTTCTCTAATATTATTAAACACTTACAAATCGAATTGCAGAAGTATATCTCACCAATAGTACCATAGAAGTAGGTACAATAACAGTTGCGTCCGTGAACGACGTTACAAATGCTTTATTGGAAAATAGAGTTTTATGAGCTTTTTTTGTGAAGAATCTCTAATTAAACTAATATACTTGAATTTGGCATTACTAGATTATTACTTGACTTAATATACATAAATCCTAACTAAAATCTTAATTATGGTTAGGTTTAGATGAATTTTGTGCACGTTTAGACAGGTATTAGTTTGTGTGGTGTTCTGATTATTCGCTAATGTATGTTTGAATTTAGTTATAACAACTAGGTGTTTTAAATAATATTTTGGGAGGTGGAGGGAACTGATGGACGTGGAGACTGATATCTGTCCACTTCATGTCTGCGTTATCTTATGCAAAAAGATATTGATACAATCATATACCAATATTACGTAAAACCTGTTTTGTGTGGTTGGACATCAAGATGAAAACTGGCCTTTTGGGGACTTTTGGCTTTTGGGGTGGGGTCTATAATTATAAGGCAATTTTAGGATTATTTCTCTCATTGTTTTTATCATTTTATTTTCTGGTGAGAATTTTAACGAAAAGTTCTTGATACTGTTCACTTTAATTAAAAACTACATTTTTACATTAAAAAGTCAATTATGATACTATTAACTTTACCCTTTATTTTGTCATTTTCGTTAAAACTCAAAGTTTTCAAGTCATTTTCATTAATTTTCCTTTTTATGGTAGATATGATTTCCAAAAGACAAAGTATTGTATCGAACATATTTTAGGGCGGGTGAAAACCAAGCGAGACGGGCAAACTTGGCTAATACTTTAAGGATTGTATTCGAAAATAGATTAGTCGCGTAATACAATAATTTTATGTGTTAAATATAGTGAATTATTCAGTTATAACTCATATTATGTCCCAAACTACACATTGTCAATTTTATCTATTATAATTATAATTATTTATCTGCCACATAATATATATATTTGAATTTATTAACTTATCTGCCAACTCAAAGTGAGACAATGAGAAAGGTGCACATATTCTTTGTTCACTATGTATTAGTGTTTGTAGAATGAAAATGATTTGTTATTTATTCAGCCTTCGGGGTGTATTTTGGCTCATTTACCTCAAGTGTATGGTAATGCTCATCACTTTACTTATTATTATTAGATGTGTTTAAATTTTGAGATTGTGAATCATTTATGGGGCATTTTTGTTGATTGCCCTGAAGTGGTGGTATTGCTCATTAGTCACCACCCTTAACTGGTGGTAATGCTCACCACTCTTAAGTGGTGGTAATTATTATTATTGAATGAGTTTAAATTTTGAAATTTGTGTCTATTTACTACGTATGTCTCAAAATTTAAACGCATTCAGTAATAAATAGAATGATGAGCATCACGATCACTTGAGGATTCCCATTTCAGTTTTAATTGATTAGTAAATTGCTCAATTGAGTTGGAAAACAATACGGACGCTGCACATGAACAGGAATAATGTTGTTTGTGTAGTTATCATTTCGTTCCTCAATTGTTTATGTAAAGCAAAGCTACTACATTTCAATATGTATTTTTTTTATAATACATTTCAATATATTTTAAAGCTGGGATTTAAGTACTATTAAATGTAAACTAAACATTAATTTAGAGGGCATCAATAGGAAGCATTGTGCCTATCACATATATAATTGACTTTCTTACCAGATTATAAGCATTCTAATTGACAAAAGTACTAAAAGTTCACATATATAATTGACTTTCTTACCAGATTACATTTAGTCTATTCTTACTCATCAGTCTACGCATTATCACCGCTAAAGGGTTATTTTAAGTCTTGTGCCAACGGATTAAACCACAAACAGATTTTCTTTTCTCTATTTAGTTGGAGTAAATTTGAAACAAGATCACGGACTACTCTATGGAAAACAAATTGAAACGAAAAATGTGCCTTGAATTATTCTCTTGAAAAGCTAAACGAAGCTCACTGGCTAGAGCCTAGAATCTTAATTAGATACAATTTAAATATATACTTACGCTTTTTCTGTGTCATATATCTTCTGACATAGGCTTGCTTTAGAGGATGTTCTCTAAGTTTGCTGAACCTTAAAGAAAGCGCCCTAATTCCTCGGGTTTCCCTTTTAGAAATTCCTCCTCAGATATGGACTACATGAAAAAAAGTTGATGAAGTCAGCTGTAGATTTGGTATTGATGCCAATGCATCTTATGTGGAGGATGCCGTTAGTTTTGTGCTCGTCTACTCGGTTGGTCGATTGTCACTCTCCCTTTGGTTTAAATTGGTCATGCAGAACATATACTTGCTTGGATATGCACATAAAGTTGGAGACAGAAAGTTTAATTAGTCTCCCTTTAGAAACAGTCACCTACAAGCTAAATAGGGCTTAATTCATCAAGCATACGAACTCGAAACTTCATTTATATAAATAGAAATAATTAAATGATCGCCTATTTTATGTATTATAAAAATACGATAAGATAAAAAAATCATAATCGAGTTGAAAAGGAAATGAACATTATATGGACATAAGTATTTTCCTTTTTTTTTTTTTTTAACGAAAGATAGAAATATATTAAAGACGAATAGAAAGGTTTACATCCTTAGCAACAAGGAAATTAAACAGAAACTCAGGGCCAATACAATCCCAAGAGAAAGAACGTCCCTCCTTGAATACATACTTAGCCACCGAGTGAGCAGCACGGTTGCCCTCTCTAGGCACAAAAGCAAAAGAGACAGACCTCAGCTTTTGCGCTAGAACCTCAATGTCATCAAGAATGCATTCGATACTAAAATCAACCAAGATTTCTTTCTTCAGCATCAAAATAATCGTACTTGCGTCAGATTCAATAATAATGTCATCAAACCCATGGTCTATACAAGACAATAAGGCAAACCTGATGGCAGAAGCTTCAGCAGCAGCTGCACTGTGGCTGAATCCAGTCCCAGACCCGCCAGCAGCTTGGAGCAAACCAGCAAAATCCCGCCCCAGCCAGCCCACCCCCATACGCAGAGTATCTTTACACCAAGCCGCATCAGTATTTATCTTAATAGTTCTGAACCTTGGTCTCTTCCACTTGGTACACATACGATCACTGACCTTGATAGACTTCGGCATCCTCAAGCTGTGATCTTCTTGATCCGGAGCCAGACTGGCCTTGTACTCACCTGTGCTCTTTTTCCAGGCCTCCAAGATATCCAGAGGCTGACGATAGATCCCTTTAAAAACCACATCGTTCCTGTTTTTCCACAATCTCCATAGGCCAAAGGCAAAATCATGACAAATATCATCCGCATCGATGAGAGATGCCATGAGATGTCCACGGAAAGTCATATATATTGAATAGGGAAATTTTAGGGGGACTATATTTCTGTACCACGTTTATGTACTATCTGATGTGACAAGTGATGTGTATATGCTATGATAATTAATAAATTTATCTAATTGAATGTTGATTTTATGCATTACTTATCGCATGTGATGTTCCCTAGCATTACTCGTTAAAATTAAAATAATTTTCAAAGTTTAGGAAACTAAAGGAAGGAGGTAATGCATGCCTACCCCAGTAATTATTAGGATTCTATTTATAGGGACTAGAAGTTTATTTCTTTGAAAGTTAATTATGCTTCTATTATTGATTTCTTGCATTCTCTAAAATTGGTGCCTTGGCGGTTGAAGGTGAAGTGGAGGAATTATTTGCATTGAATTTTCCAAGTTTATTTTCAGTCTTGTCATATTTATATGAATGATATCAAATTGTCAATGCTCTAGCAAATAATGACACCTCTTCTATTAGTTTTGTTTGAATTCTTCTCCTGTTGTTATATGCCGAATTATTATCATCGACTTTATGTGGGTCTTTCAAGCTACAGCTTTTGATAGGTTTTTTATTTTTATTTTTTATAATTGTTATTTAGTTTGTTTGTTTTTATGGCTTTCTTTCGTTGTCATAATTAGGCTCATGCTCTTTTTGATATATTGTATTTTTCTTTCTATTAATGAAATTATCACTTAGTCACTTTCCATGATAGCAATGTTGGAGTGATACTTACTTTGTGATCTTAATTTAAAAAAAAAAAAAAAAAGATTCCATATCTACAATTTGATTATGAACAGATGGTGGATGATCTGATCTTGTTTAAACAAATTCGTAATCTATTTCTGCCTTTTACTAGTGAATCCAATCTTATAAACAATTTGTGGAAATGCATCTAGCCATGTGGTCCATGTCATCTTGTTCAATAAAGTCATCAATATCATCCCTTCATGTGTTAATAAGAAGACTATCTACTTGAATCATATTTTGTTAATCACATGATATGACAATTAATGGTTCGATTCATTGTTTAAAACATTAAAGGTAGATATATCCATCAATCGTAACACCATATAATTCACAAAATATAATCTAAAAATATGACCTCCTAGCATTTCTCTATTACACAATGTGATTTCCATCTTATTTTTTAAGAGTTGTATTATTGTTTGTGACCTGCCCTCTGACTTTCTTTTTTTCCCTGGTTCTATAAATATGTTTCCCATATACTTTTGACTTAAAAAAAAATTGTAATTTAACAACAAATAAGTCCGCCCCCAAAGGATAATACTTGTGCTTTTTTTTTTTTTAATAAACTCATTCCCCACTTGCAAATATCTTCTATTCACTGTAGAAATTTTATAATAAGAACTGTTTAATTTCTTAAGTTTCATTTGAAGATTATTCATTCGAATCAGAGTTCGATTAGTCATCCAAATGTATTAATAAATGGATGGTTCATCATGAATATGTTACTCAATACTTACATTGTTGATTTTTTTTATATACATTTGAATCACTAAACGAACACCGATTCAAATTATTTTTTGTAGGAATGATTTTCAAATGAATCTTAAGAAATTGAACAGTTCCGATTATGAAATTTCTACGAGAATGATACATTATTCGCTAGAAGGAGAATGAGACCATCTCAAAAGGGATGCAAGTGTGACCCTTGAACAATAATTAAGGGTATTGAACCTAGCTATCTACTATAATTATATGTAGCAGTGAGATATTGCTTACGTAAACGAAAGGATAGGATCGTATGGATAGGTATATGACTAGAATTATAATTTTATAAAGACTTGTTGGCATGAACCCTTAATTATTTGTATGAATAATGATTCTTAAACATTATAAAAAAAAATATTCATAAAGCAAGTATGAGATTGTGCGTATGTTTACCTTTTTATAAGACCAACTTTGCAATTAGAAGTGATTCGTGAAAGTTAATCTTGTTTTGTTGCAATTTCATAACTACTAGCATGTACACGTATTCATAGATAGAAAATTTTCATAGTTTTGATTAAAACAACAAATTTTCATAGTTGAATGAGAATTGATCTCCTCGCACTTTATGGTTTCAAACCTAAAGATACAATAAGTCAATGAAAATAATGGACATAAATAAACATAATTTATAATGCATCAGTACAGAAAAAAAGACAGTGAGAATCATTTTCCTAGTTCGATTATATGTTTTGGCCTGCCTTTTAGCTAGTTCATAGAACGACAAATTAATTTCTCATTCCGATGGTAAGAAAACAAAATTAGAAATATGCGGTATCAGGTCAGCTGTAAAATTGTTAGGTAGCTGGGTGTAGTGTGTGTACAATAAGTCATGCATGACTGTGCTTGATACGATGATGACCATGACATTACCAAAGAAGCAAATGCGCCATGGTCAAATCATGACCTACCACCGACCTATTAATTTCTTCCTGAAAGATGCTCTGTGATCGCTCGGTGCAGTACTATCTCAGACTGAAAGAGATGGGAGATGGGAGGGATGATAGGGAGAGAGAGGAATACGAATCCCTTCAGCTTAACTTTTATTTAACTTATTAGGTAAATTACATAAGTATAGGATAAAAGAACAGTGATAATATAAGAAAATTACATTCTTATTCGAATGAGCGGTTTAAAGTTGTTGTAACGCCGGGAGAGAGGAATTCTCAGGGCGAGTTTGAGCCTCAAAGGTGAGGAGGTGGGAACGAAGATCAGGAAATTCCAGCAATGGGGAAAATTGAAAACAGCAGTGACAAACATCGAATAATCAGACCCCAACATAATCCTAACCGGATTAGTCTATACTAACATTTATATATTAGGTAAAATATACAAGTATGAGACTAGTAAAAGATAGTAAAGAAGAATTTCTTTGACAATAGAAGACGATTGGATTCTTATTTGAATAACAGTTCAAATTTGTTAGAGATTTCAATAATACATATATAAATTATTATTATTATTTTGTGTGTGTGTGTGTATATATATATATATATATATAATATATGTATAGACTTGGTGTTGCATTGTGCAGCATATGTGTATGTATAATAGGGAAAGGCTACTGCTGCGGTGCGCAGCAAGCCTACAGACGGCAAGGTTGGATTTCATTCAACCTTTGTATATTTTGTTGAATGGTTACAATAGTTAAAAGACATGATGCTTACTCAAATTGTATGAGTAAAATTAAAGATGTAATAAGTCGTACCTCAAAGTCATCATTCGGATTATTCTCTATATTTCTATATTTACTCTAACAATCTTAAAGTGTTATTATCGTCATGGAGAACAAGTCTGATAACATGACTTTGAAGATTATCAATCAAGATGTCTACAAGCTAGACAAATTTGATGGATCAAACTTCACCCGATGGAAGGACAAGATGCGTTTCATGCTTACTGTTTTAAATGTCATATATGTGTTGTACCCGAAATTGGAGCCTATTCGTGAACCAAGTGACAAAGACTCGGACAAAATAGTTGTCGATCGAAAGAAGCGTGAAGAAGATGAATTGGTATGTCGAGGACACATCTTGGGCACATTATATGATCACTTATATGACCTGTACTCACACATTCAATCTCCAAATGAAATTTGGGAAGCACTTGAACACAAGTACACAACGGAGAAAAAAGGTACCGATAAAATTTTAATGTTCAAATATTATGAATTCATTATATTTGATAACAAACCCATTCTAGACCAAATTCATGAATTATTGGTCTTGGTCTCAAAGCTTCATGAACTTAAAATAGTTATTCCGGATCATATGATAGTTGGGGCTATTATGGCAAAATTACCCCAAACATGTAATAACTATAGAAAGAAACTTCTACACACGGTGGAAGATATTAGTTTGGAGGATTTGCAAAAGGGTATTCAAATTGAAGAGGAAACTCGAAATCGTGATAAGAATTTTGCAAATCAAGATTCCTCTAAAGCTCACATTGTCGAAGGAAACAAATATAAAAAAAACTTCAAAGTCAAAATTGACAAAGAGAAGTTTAAGAAGATCAATTCCAACAACAATCAAAAGAAGCAAATACCCCTTATGACCCTAGTGAAACTTTGCATAATAATTCTAGTAGGTCCGTTGCATAGCTTGAGTATGCTAATGTAATTAGAAGTTTAATGTATGCCATGCATTGTACCAGGCCAGATATTGCATTTGTAGTAAGCAAACTTTCTAGATACACTAGTCATCCATGTACTGCTCATTGGAAAGTAATAAATATAATTTTTGGTTATCTTAAAAGAAATATTAACCTGAGTTTAACTTACTATGAGTTTCTAGCAGTACTTGAAGGATATTCAGATGCAAGTTGGGTAACAAGTGCTAATGATAATAAGTCTACATCAGGGTGGATTTTTAAAATTGCCGAATGAGCAATTTCTTGGGATTCGAAAAAGCAAACATGTATAACATATTCAACTATGGAATATGAATTTATAGCCGCAGCAGGTAAAGAAGCATAATAGATTAGAAATTTGTTATTGGAAATAGAGTTGTGGCTACAACCAATGCCATCCATTTCTTTATAATGTTATACTGAGGCTACTTTGTCTAGAGCATACAATAAGGTATACAATAGAAAGTCTAGACATATTAGCTTGAGACATGAATATGTCAAGCAATTAATAATTGATGGAGTTATTAATATTATTTATGTTAAAACAAGTAATAACTTGGCAGATCCGTTAACGAAAACACTTTCAAGAGCTTTGGTAGTTAGTACATCTAGTGGAATGAGGCTAAACCTTTTACTGAAATTTAGCCACCAATAATGGTAACCCGACTTTCTTTAGAACATCACTAGTTTAAAAGTTCAATGGGTAATAACAAGTTATTGTTAAGTGGTTGTGAAAGCACTGAAAATTAATATATAGCTCATTCCAGGATGATCAGTGCAAGACTGCTACGTTTAGGAGGATGAGTTTTGTCACTTAATGAGGTTATTTGTAGTTATGTCTATAGTAGCAGGG